CCCCAAAACCCCAAAACCCCAAAACCCCAAAACCCCTTCTGGAGCTTCCTAGATTGACTATTTGAATTTCTTATCCAGTATTTGGTCACGAGCTTCAGAGTAGCACGGAATCTTAAAGAGATTTTTCCTTTTAATCTTCACTCTAATATGAGGTGTGAGATCGATCTTTGGTGCTAGACACGACGATTCATCAAATTCCCCGATTCAAGATAGCATCGAATCCTTTCTTGATTCTTTTCGATCATTAATTTGACTTGAAATATTTGATTTGTCAACTAAAGGATTACTTATATTAAAAATACAGGTCATGTGAGAGCACTCTGCTTGTTTGTTTTGAGCTTTGAAAACTTTTTCTTTATACCTAGCATTATGCCGTTTGGCAAATACACTTCTACAGAATAGTCAAAATAGTTACTTTCTAGTCCGAAAAGATGGCTGAATAACTCTTCTATTGGCTTGATTTTGATGCTCTCTGGAGGTAACAAGAGGTTTGTTCCTCTTATGTGGAACCATACTCAGTCCAGAGAAGTTATTGATCCTTCTGGTAATACTCCCTCTTAATACTGCATTCCTCTTCCTATGGGTAACATTGCCAGAGGGCTCTTCGTCGAGAGAAGTATTTCAAAGTCCTATTGCTTGGGTTTCTTAAGATAAAATTTAATACATAAATATACTATCGCCTTTGTCTTTTTCCATAGCTTTCAAGTTGAGCTCGTTCCGAGTCTTGGACCTGATCTAGGCATCAGAAGAAGCCTACCACACTTTTAGTAAGAGCTTTATGAATTTTGGACTTATTTTCCAATCTTAACTCTCTTTGGTGCCTTCCTCTTTCAGTCTGATGGGTTAGGAATAAGACTTACAGTGAGATTCAGGTCTATAATAGCTGCTATTCGTGACCGACGGAGTGGCGTTGGCTCCCTATATACATGAGAAAGGAGGTACATCTGATTTATGGCATCTGACGTATTTTGAAGAGTTATAGAACGATTTTTTGAATGTCTAGAGCCAAAATTTATCTTATTGCCTTTGAAACTGTAGTATCTTGCTGAGTCCTGAACAAAGTGAGGTTTATAAAATGCTATCAAACTTACTTGAAAAGTATCAGATGGATGTTCTTGGCTGGAAAAATTGAAACTAAAGTTTTCAGAGAAATCAAATACTTAGGTATATTCCTAATTTCCATAGATTCAATTTTGTCGTTTTTGAACAAGATAAATTTCTCTCTTTCCTTTGATCTTGGTCTGATTATGGATTTAGGCCCTACTTCAAATGACATTTTCAATTATATTCTTGCTGTAGGGGTTTTGGGGTTTTGGGGTTTTGGGGTTTTGGGGTTTTGGGG